GCTCCTCCGCGATGCTTTCGCTATGTATTTTTTGCATTTGCATAGTTCATGAGATTTCCAACCGTCTGCTTTATACTTGCAGGTGTGAAGGCTATGAAAGGAATGGGCCCGATATTCAACTACTAGTATAAACACTAACCATTAACATAGAAATAATATTTAGAGAATACATCAGCAATCTACGAAAATTCTTTTCATGGTGAATCCTTCTTTTGGCCTCAATTGTAAGATATTGTAAGGTTTAAGATTCTCAGGGCCAGACCAGGGTTAAAGTACGGTACGCCGATTGAAGAATTATAGCAACCCGTCGAATAAGGCAGCTGCCGTTCAAAATAACTCTGTCGTTGTTCGCATTGACATATTCTGGTTTGGAAAAATCCAAGCAGATTCGCGTGATGCCAGAACTATGTGAAGGGACCGGGATCTTAATCGCACGACCATGTTGCTCTCGTAAAATCAGTTGCAATCGCCGCGCGCGGCGAGGCGAGACATGGCAGCCGTGACCTCTCGTGGAGTCCTAACCTACACCCGCAGTTGACAAAGAACTGATGAAATGATTTTTTTTTTCTTTTCTTCCTTCTTACTTTTTTCTCTTCAAAAGCAGCTACTCTCTTTGATGTGAACTGCTATGAATTTCGTTTCCAGCCCAAGGAGCCAGGAATCTACAAGGTCAATGTCCTAGCAGGTGGCGAACACATAGGCGAGATTCCGTTGCGTATTGAAGGTTGAGCCACCGATTGCCGGTTTCCACCCATCGGCAGCACAGCTTACCGGCCTTGATCATGATATCAGTTTCATCCCTGGCAAACCAGCGTCATTCCGAATTGACACTCGACACACTGGAGGTCGTTTTTTTAATTTTTTTCATTCTGAGTGTGTGCGGTAGAGTACATTCCCATTTCAGCAAGCGATGAGGCTCCATCAGTTGAAGTGTTAGATAAGGATCTAACTCACGTCCCTCTCAGCGGCTCTCAAATTGATCGTGGAATCTATGGCTACAGTTGTTTTCCTAAATTCTCTCCCGGCAGAAAGTAACATCATAGTCAGCGAAACCAGCCTAAACGGTGCGGTTTATTCTTATGCAATACCTGGGTTCGCCATTCCCGGTAAGTTATTGAGTATTCATTACTAGTGATATATTAGGTTGGAAAGAAAGTCCTGTCACTGTTGTGACTTTTTTCTTTTTTATTCTCTCACTCAATACAGTGGAAATTAATCAACAATATACTCGTCATTGTTTAGACACTATGCGTAGCTGCCACCCATTGGGCTGTTGAGCATACCCCTAGTATCCTCCCAAAGTACTGCCGAGAGGCTGTGGGTACGTGAGTAATCGGCGGTTTCTCGATTCGGACTGTCATCCAACTATGCTGACAGTTTTCTCAGACGTAAGAAAGCCTTAAAAGAGCGGCGGAGCAGATAGCAGTGGTGTGCGTCTCCAGGCCTTGCTCGCTCAAATCTTGGGTAGGTCTCCATAGCAGTACGGGGTCTCGCGTCCTCATGAGGTGCCCCGAAGGTCGGTCATTTTTCTCCAGCAGTCTGCATGCGTTTCCGGAGCTGAGCGCACACAAAATGGTAGCGTGCCTTGTACTGCGGTTGTGCAGATGTCCCTCGCGTTCCCAAAAGCCAGCACAGGAGCACCTTCTCGGAGTGAATTTCGGGGTGAACCGCTTAGGATTGGGTTTCTCCTTGCAGAAGAGACACACGGCTTGTGTTGTGTTTAGATCATTAGAGAAGAAACCCTCCTCATCTCCACTGAGTAGCCTCGGGACTCCTTCTGACGAGGGCGGAGAGAGGGACATTGACCAAGGGGTACCTGGGTGCATAGGGTGCCATATGTCATGGTATGGGTGATCCATCGAGCTAGTATTAGGTCCATTCCCATTCAAAGTGGCCGATGGTTTTTTTCTGAACAAAACAAAGAGGAGAATAGATAGAAAAGTGATTATTTCAGCTTTAGGATGAGTAAATCCCTCCTTCACCAATGACCCGCTCCCAGTGCCCCGAGGGCCTTTGGACCTCTGGTACCTTCGATTTTTCAACAAGTGTGAGTAAATTGCTGTTGTTGCCAATTTCGGCAAATGACAAAACATTGTAGCGTCTGCCGTCGAAGAGTACTCTCTACTGAATAGAACAGTTGTAATCGCATGGCTTTATGACGGGCGAATGGGACGATTGAACTCAGGTCTCAGTATTGTTTGTGTCCCAGCACTGATCTACAATACAGTTACTCGGGGTCTGGCACTATGACGAGCAACGGTGGCCTTCTTGTAGTTGTGTGGTAGCATCCATTTGTCGATCTGAATGCCGAGGAACAGGCAATATGCACCGACAGTGACGGATTTGTCCTCTGTATAGAGCCGCTTGAAAGCCACAGTGTGGGAATCCTTTGCTATGATGATCATCCACTTGCGCCCACGTAACTCTTCATGGTAGAACTCGGGCGGCTTCTCATCTGCATTCATAGAAAATTGACGATTGTGAGTTTCGACTCGAGGTCCGAGACCACCCATATTTCATCTAGGGCCGGGGTGCGTTTTCACAGTTGAGTGACATCTCATGCTGAGAACATTACTGCTGGAGGTATAGAATCGGTACTGCGTTCGTGCTTCTATAAGAAAATTGGGTACCCATGCGCCACCCTCTTGACCATCCTCCGTTTATCGGACATAACTCGGGCAGCAGTTGCAGCTGGGATGTCAGACTCGCGGGGAAGCTCGACAAGGGTCCAGGCTCTGTGATCAGATATTCAGTGCCTGACTTCATCCACCCGTTTTTCTTGTGCAGGATGAATATTATGGGACCACCCACGACAACAAATTTTTTCCTTTCTTCCTTGTACGGGCTCCTGAACCAGATCTTCCACCGTGTATTTCGAGAACACCCTTACACACAACTATGGTCCGGCGCAGGTCAAATTTGAGCAGCGCACTTTCCTGTTATGACATCTGATTTGAAAAACCGGCGCCGATTTTCACCACTCGGGCTTCTCTTTCATTCGCAGAACTTCTTCAGAGGCTGAGCGTTCCCAAAGTTTTCACAGGCATACACAGCTTAAGGTACTAGCTTCCAAATGGTATAGTGGCCCGCTGCTCTATCCCCTTTGCTTTTCTGCCATTCCTCTATATGTGTCGGCCACTTTGAATGGTGAGATTAAAATGACCGTAATGCTTTGTTAGCCAGGGGATCACGGTTGACGACCTCGAGTCAAGTACACTACGAACGCGTCCGAGGTCTAGTCGTAACGAGTGCGATGAGCCTCCTGGATCCCCCCTCGATAGCTCCGTGAGAGACGCGTTAAGTACTTCCACTCCGCGGCGGCCGTTTCGAGCCGACGGTTATGTACTTATGCGAAGTCGATATCTCCATTTCACAAAGCGGAGCGAGACAACATAGTAAGTGGATAGTCCTGCGGATGAGATGCGTGGTGTCCTCACGCCAAAGCAGTGTTGATTTTCAAAGCTCTACTCCAGTCTTGCGACATCACTCAAATAAGATGAGCTCGGAGAACCTGTGAAAGACTGACACTGTAAATAACCAAGTGAAAACCTTCTGCCTTAGTGGTAGCCTCTTTGGGAAAGCTCTGCGAATGTTCTACAAAGCGTGGCATGTTACGTTCTATGATCGAGCATCAAGAATCGAAAATTCCATGCCAAGTTAAAGCGATATGCCTGCTATCCGATGTATTCTAGCAAGCTGTCAAACTTGTAACACCGACAATCGCGTTGTGTGAGTTTTGGTAGGAGGGGTCAGAACTGCCAAACTGAGGCTTATGAGAGGGTGCCTCGCGAACGACCTTATTTAGCTTACTGTAAAGCGCGCGAAGGTGGCTTAAAGTCTTACTAGAAGCCGGAGGAGCGGCTATTACTTAGCTCCTATCATATATTGTTACGACAGGCTCACCTGGTTTGCCGAAATCCATAAGTGAATCACTCTAAAACGACGGTAATCGCTGCGTCACAACCCTCCGACCTGCGAGTCTGCGAGTGCGTAAGCATGGTTTGGAATGGGGCTCGGGCTCAAGACCATTTTCAAAGTTTGAGAGCCAATCACTGTTTTATCACGCGGGTGGGAAGAAGCATTACGCACCTGGCAGGGAAGAGCAGCGAAACACATCTTACATTATTGTTCCACTTTGTCCATACCACTCCAGCGTGTAACTATGTCGCGTATATATTATTGCCCTGATTTCACTTCATGTGGCAACCGCTAGCTTTCCTTTCCCGTGTTAACGATACTAGTACGCGCCACTCTGTCTCTCGGCATGGCTGTTTGTATCGTCCAGACTATGTGGGTATAATGGAAGCTTTAGAGGCTAGCGCGTTGACTCGATATGGCATTGTTAACTGGTCGAGGTCAGGGATGGCAAGTAATATCAAGCTATCTCGAGCCCCTCTCTTGATTTTTGCGAACCTCTGAATGGCCGAGCACCACATTTCGTCTGCAAGCCTGCGCCATCGCACCTCTGAGGTGATCGCACAGCGTCTCTTTAACTGAGACTAAAGACATGTTCCTATGTCACATTTATTTCTCTTTGTTCAAGGTGAATGTCTACGAACCTGTCGACATTTCCAAACTGCGAATTTTCGGACCTGGAGTCGAAGGTCCAGTGAAGAGCCAGGAACCCACTCACTTCACCATAGATGCCAAACAAGCTGGTTCTGGTGCAGTTGAGGTGAGCCTTTTTGGGTGTTGCCGACAGTGTGCAAGGCAATTGCTCTAGGTTGCTCTCGCTGATAAAAATGGTAAAGCTGTCGCAATCGATGTGCTGGACAACAATGACGGATCATTCACTGTGAAGTACACTGCACCGAGGCCAGGACCATACCAGGTGATTATATTTAGCTTCGCTTGTTAGCCTCATTATGACTGAGAGGGGGGAGAGGACGGCCTGGTCAATTGTCAGTGCACTAACTCTACGGGTACAGTCTTTTTCGCTGCAGATTATAGGGCGCAACAGGGGGATGGCTTTGACGCTGCGCCAGCCCGTTCCTTTTTTTTCTTTCAACTGGCAAAGAACAGGTTGGCGTTCCGCCAAGCGAAGCCTCAGTGAACAATACTGTGCAGGTTTGACTCTTATCTAGATTCAAGCCCATTGGCCATGAGTCAGCATTTTCAAGGTATCTTCCCTTTGAGCTATGTTTGCTCAAAGCAGGATATTACGTAAAACATCGTAGTCGCTTTGCCCACATTGTGATGTTTAGCTGAACGTGGTTTTTGCTGGTGCTCAAGTTCCGCCAATAGAGATCAATGTTGAGCCTCAGATCGACACGTCTGGTATCAGAGTCACGGGTCTGGAAAACGGTACGCAGTTTAGCTTTATCAGATTTGAGTGTTGTTTTGTGTTGGACTTGACTGTCAAGCCATGGATCCAGTTGTGATTGGGTTAATAACGAGCATGTACGTTGATTCATTAATGCTCATTCTGTTGATTGCTGTGAGAATTGAATGTCTTCCTCTCTGTGTGGAGTCGTACTGATCTTGTCAAGGCAAAAACTGAGCAATGAACTGGCCGATGAGGTTGCCGGTTATGTCTTGGTTTGAGATTCGTTTCCACAGAATTTCAGACTGTGACTAGTTGCTGTAAAATTTTTGGCTTAATTTACCACTACGGCAAATCATGATTCCTTCGAAGAATATTAACTATACAGAGTGCTATTCGAAGTAAAAACCTTTCTGAAGTTTTTGCAGTCCGTTCTAGTTGTGAGTCCTGGTTTAGATTCAGAGTTGACTTTTACTTTATGAATTTTTGCATTCCTACTGAATTGGCGTGTCGAGCCATCAAGTGAAGGCCTGTGGAATTTTGTGAAGCTGCTAAATGATACCAGCTTATGTTTGTAAAGACACGCCGCCAACAGTACGCTGTCTACTCTTATAAGTAAGTGAAGTACCGTGACAAACACATGTTGCTTGGTAACTCGACGAGGTTGCTCCAATTTCGTTATAGAGTTCCACAGGTCTTCACAGAGTAGCGGATATTAGTTGAACCGCTACAATTCTGAGGGTAAGTGACAAAACTAGCCCCCACCGTGCTCACCGCCTCGAACTACGCCTACGATTTCAATGTCAACACTCACATTCTACAACTCACGAAGATGAGGAAACTGAATGGAAACTTGAAAATAGAGCTTGGTAAACGTGGAGTCGCATTCCACAGCGATTTCGTAGCGGGTCACATTCATTGGAGTGTCGCATCCAAAGTGGCGAATAACTGTGTATCAACTCATCAATGAGAGTAACGCGCACTGGTTAGAATGATTCATCCCATCACTCCGCCCTGCTGTTTGATAGAATGCTGTAATTTGAAATTAGCCGCTATTTTCATTACGATGGGAGTAAGCAAGTATTGCGACAGTTTCGTTTTGTGTGGAATGTGTGATCCTGTCTTAATTTGCGTGTGTTTTTGTACCTGTTTTGTTGTGGTTCGCGTCGTAAAAACTTCCCGTTGTTTTTTGTTAGTTGTAAGTTTTTATTTCGTTCACTAGATGTATACAGGATTGTTCGGGAATCAGCGAGTAACGTTGAAGTCAATATTACAGGTGAAATTAGAAATGAGCTCCGTGATCCGTGCTGTCTCTTGCGTCAAGGAGGAATAGTCGTTTTCAATATTCGAGTATTTGTATTCAATACTGCTAAACAGAAGCATTACGTGGATCACTAATAATTAGTTTTACCACTACGGGGCATTTACTTCACCTCCACGATGCCGCTCCTGCACGTCCTTGCGGGGACCTTATCTAACATTTAAAGAAAGCGGTCAGCGATTACTCGGACGAATTACTCGCAGAAGCTCCTTTCGTTGCCCTAGTGTGGCCAATCACGCAAAGCAATGTCTCCGAAAAGCGCTCGAGCGCCTGCTGTGGCTTCGGAGACGCACAGCTTAGGCTCCGCCTTATGATAAGTTGTTGGTTCCACCTTTATCCTTTACGGACTTTACCATTCGTACATACTGGCGCGGGCGTGGTCTACGAATCAACTCCGTGGGCTGTACGATAGCTGTGTTTTTTTTTCTTTCTGCTCTGTAACTGTCCTTCTACGACGTATATTGTTAATGAGATCACTCAGGAATAACAGCGTTTTGATTGTAGGACCGATTCACGACTTATTTTTTTTGATTGACTTTTTTCGTCGCCGTCCGTCCTTACGAAAATGAGAGGTCAATTCTTCAAGTCTAGTGAAGCGGGCGACCTTAACGGTCTTTAAAGACTCAGTCCAACCGCTGAATACCGAGCAGGGGACACCCACTTACACAGTTGTCACGTAGTTTGGTGAGGCATTCCCCTCCTACGCTGTGGCCTCCCGGAAGCTGCTGTTAACACAAATGCACGTCACGAGGTTTTCCCCAAGAGTGGTTACTTATGAGGTAGCGTCTTGAAGACTCAAAGAGCGGGGGAATGGGGATGCACTAACACCGAAATTTCGCAATATTTTAATCGGAACGAAGGAACATAGTTATTGACAAAGGATTAATAAAACTAAGTGGTAGCGAGATGAATGGTCCAGGTTTTTCTTTACGATAGAATTCGCGCACTGTCATTGGCGAATTTAAGGAAAGCTTGAGCACGATATTTTGTTCTCGCAAACAAAGTGCGGCGCCGGCAGAGGCAAGATAGTACGTAAAAGAGGGACAGGCCGTATCGAAGGTGGCCGCCAAATAAGTGTCCTTTAGGGCTCAATTAGAGATTTTGGTCGGCTCTGTACGCCCCACCACACCCTCTGAAAGTAGCTTCCATACGTTGCCTTCCCGCTAGTTTCATTCTCCGATACGAGTCGAGACTGTCGTGTGGGGGGGGAGATGGGGGGGAGGGTTACAACTGCCACATGTGAAACGCGGAAAACGCGAGGAAAATATCGTATATCTCTTAACGTACCATTCTCGTTGGCATATTCTCAACGTTAGCTACGTTTTCGAAACTTGAAAATTATCCCGCTATCCCACTTTTCTCCCCTCAAAATTCTTGCTGTCCAGCGGCGGCGGGGGTATATAACATACGAAACACGAGAAACGCGCCAAAGTCAACAAATTTTAGGAAAAATGTCGCCTGGCGAGTCTCTCTCAAAAAACTACGCGGCCCTCTTCACCCCGCGACACAAACACGCCAACCCAGCTCCTGTTGGGATTTTAGTGGAGTCCTGGGTAGATCGGTAGTGTCTATAAGGTTATTTACAAATATAGACAGCAAAGCTGCAACCTGCATTTCACAAGCAACTCATGAGCAGGTAAATTTCCAATGCATAAAGGTAGGTTGGAAGTTTGTGAGGTGAGCTGATAGAAGCATGAAGCGAGGAAATCGGAATACGTTGAATCGAGTAGTGGTGGATTCAGCGGGTAAAGTTCTGCGTTCGACGATCGATTTCGACTGTGTGCTATTTCTCGCCTTATCTTTCGCGAAACTACACACCAAATCTCCAGCTACTGCACCATTAGAACTTACTGGTCATAAGTTGCTTGGAAAGTGCAGTTGGCGCAGTTCTGGCTATCTCTATTTTGTAAATTGCTATCTATAATTTGTAAATAACCTTATAGACTATCGATCTACCCAGGTTTCCATTCAAAGTTCATGGTAAGTTGGCGGACTTTCTTGGTTGGAGACAGCTTTTCTTTGGAAAAGAATCTAAAGCCTGCTAGGGGGGCGCGGCATTCTTTGATGATTAGCATATACATCCTACATGCCTAGAGGATTAATCGTGCCCTCTGCCTTTGAGGACATGTCTCATTTTAGGTGATAAGTTTAATTTCTACAAATCGAGCTAGCTTTCTGAACAACTTCCTTTCAATAACATGCATTGTTTGATGTGCCGTGTGTGATTTTTTTCTCGTCGACCTCGCCTTCTTATGATGCTGCCTTGTCATGCATTTCTTTTCAGCGATCGTAACGGTGAACTGTGAGCAGGAGGTGCATGTGTTCACGCCTGACGGTGACAACACTCGAATCGTGATCGTCAGTCCCTCTGGCAGTATCGTTGAAGCGACCATAGAGTCTACCGAAACTGGAATGCGTGTGTGGTTCACTCCGTCGGAAATTGGAGATTACACCATATCTGTCACGTATCGCGATCTCCCTGTTGGAGAGCCTTGCCTTTTACATTCGGTGCCTGATGGTAACAAAGCAGAGGCAGAATACGTTGTCTCGAGAACCGGGCCACCAAGAGCCGATCTGGTCACCGTTACAGGACCTGGTCTTGGGCCTGTGATCGTACAGCGATCAACGCATGTTTCTATTGACTTAACCTCTGCTGGATTCGGTGACATTGACCTTTTCGTTGACGGACCAACAAGGACCCCGATTCACTGCGTGGACAATCATGATGGAACACTTACGATGTATTACGTGCCACAAACTCCAGGCGTGTACTTTTTGCGAGTGATGTTCGACAGCAGTCATATTGCAGGCAGTCCATTTCAAGTCCTAGCCGTTCCAGCCATACTGGCATCTTCGCTAACAAGTGAACCTGAAATTCCGGACAGCCCATTTACTTCATTGTCCAATGAATCTTCTACACCGAAAAGCACTCCCTGTGCCTGATACTTCTCTTTAAAGTGTTAATTGTTCTGATCTCATGTGATAACTTGATTATTCTGAGCTGCTGTTGACAACAAGATCTTTCTCCTTTATTTGTCATGAGTGACAAGGAAGCTTCGCCGAAGATGTATAAATATTATTCAGTTCCTTCTCCAAGCATAAGCAATAACAAAAAAATGTATTAAGTAAATAGCAAGACACCGAAGAAGAATTTGAATCAAGGTGGGGATGCTATGAGAACTTCCTACTTCAGATTCTATTCCATCTTATTCTCCAGCCTATTTGATGTTCGGCTCAATATCGTGAAGTAAACTTCATATAGTTGTTTTAGACAGGTTTCGGAACTCTGGTTTGGCTCTCCACGTGAAGCAGGGCACATACGTCATGGGTGTTCACGAGGGGATCGTATTTAGTGGAGGAACATTTACACAAGGTTCACTCATCACTGTAGAACGTTCAAGTGGACGATAAAACGTTTTGGGCGTTTTCCGAAAGTTCGGAGGAACACATCCACTTGTTGGGAAGATATCACGTGTAGTTTCCATCCTACCGTCATCGCTACGTGGAGGAATAAGACATGCCAG